GGTCATTCAAAGAAAGGTTTTCCTATGAATTAATTAGAGAAGAGTCCATTTTTATGGGCATTATGTGGCTGTTTTATAGAGAACTGAGTAGAAGGAAGATTCTCTCTACATACTTGTAGGTCGTAAAAGTGTATCTGATCTGGCTGAGGGGTCCTGGTTGCCATGGTAACCAGGGGCCTGGTGTCGTTCACAGATATTCTGGCACCCAGTATGTTTATTGGGTGAGGAGTCTGTGACTATTTGTTAATCTAATGAATAATTGATTTGTTAAATCTAATGAAAAGTGTCTGATTGATCCAAATGCTACACCAATGAGAAATGGGAAAAAGAGACAAAAAAGCAAAACTTTTCTTGGTTGACAGTATTATTGTTTGTTTTGTATGTTTTCATAAAAATCCTTAAATAGAGTCTTGTGGCATTGAAGTGTGCTTTTAATTGCCATGTATTGTATGATATTGCCGTCTTGAAAGAGGTAATTTACTGAACTTTGAAATGTCCCTTCAGCGGCCTGTTTTGTTGGCTGTATATGTCAATAAAATGACGGATTAGTCCGATAACCATCTGGTTTTCTGTTGCAGGGCGGAGATGGTGCTGGGCAACATCATAAAGAAGAAAGGATGGAGGTATGTTCATTAACAGCATACAGCTTTTCATTTCCTTCGGCCGCTTCTTATCTTGTGCTGATAACTCAGCCGAAGATTGTGCCACTGCAACCCCAGACAGGCAGAAATATAAATTATTAAAGCCTGGCTCACCCCGTAGATGTCCCATGTAGATATTGAATTATGAAACAGTCGCATGGGTGTGTTTATTGTGCAGTTGATGTCCTGATATATGTGTGTGTAATTTAACACGAGCTAAAGGAGGTTCATGGTTAATAGAAGCCCTTTTGTTAAGATGTTTTAATTTAAAGCAGGGTGGGCTCTCACAGTTTCTGCATAATGAGATGAAGAGTAACTGAGCTCTCTGCAAGAAAGGATCTTCACATTTGTGTGTGTGTGTGCGTGTGTGTGTGTGTGTCTGTGT